GGCTGGGAGCCCCAGCTTTGCACCCTCAGGTCCAGGCAGGAGGAAGGCTCGGTCGCAGTGGAGTGAGGGAGCAGCTAGCTGTGCATCCCTGGGTTCCGGGACCTCTCGGCTGGCTTCCCTCTCGTCCCCGCCCCAGACCGTTCCTGAAACCACGCAGCCCTTCCACAGAGCCAGGGCTCCCCCAGCCTTTTATTTTTTATTTTATTTTATTTTATTTTATTTTATTTTATTTTATTTTATTTTTTTAAGATCTTACTTAACTTATTTGAAAGGCAGAGTTACAGAGAAGGACAGACAGAGATATTTTCCATCCACTGATTCATTACCCAAATGGCCACAATGGCCAGTGCTGGGCCAGGCCAAAGCCAGGAACTGGTAGCTTCTTCCAGGTCTCCCACGTGGGTGCAGGAGCCCAGGCACTTGGGCCATCTTCTACTGCTTTCTCAGGCACATTAGCAGGGAGCTGGATAGGAAGTGGAGCAGTCGGAACACAAACTGGTACCCACATGGGAGGCCAGTGTCACAGGTGGTGACTTACCTGCCCCTCCGCTCACAATCTTTAAAGAGCATGTTACCCAGTCGTTCAAGACCCAACCAGCACCAGCCCAGGAAGTGGTCAGTTCCCCTGCTGTGGAACCTCCAAGCCTTTATCAAATGTGGACATACACAGCTGAACCCAAGGACGGCCCTAGCTTCTCTGGGAGGCCCAGGAGAGCTGACACATGCCTGGAGCACTTTGCTGCTGCCCCAGCACGGAACGGAACCACATTTCAGAATTCCCTGTAACTGACATACAAAGCGGACACATGCCTGTCTCGAGCTGCGCCAAGGGGTCCCTCTCGCCTTACGCATTGTCCCCTGCACAAGACCTGTCCATATCCAGCAGGCTGTTACTCCAAGCATCTAAGCTCTTCCTGCTAGCCTGACTGAGGCTCCCTCAGTCTCTCCTCTCTGGACACGGGACAACCCCCATGGAGGGAGGTCTGCCTGCCACCCAGGGCCTGCTCTTGCCAGTTGCCTGCGTCTTCTCTGGGCCAAACTCCTAGCACCGATGTTCTCCGATGCCGGGGGAGAACTCCAGGTTCCCCGGCACCTGTCTGGTCACTCTGCACAGACCAGATCCAGCCAGCAGGGAGACAGGCTCACGCGTCACCCTCCTGGAGGGGAGAAGAGGGGCAGGCCTAGCCTCCCAGGAGCTTGTCCCCAGCCAGGAACCCGCTGGCTGTCAGCTGGGACAGATTCGGGGCTGCCATGCCCCCGGAGCTTTCTGCCCCCAAATCTGGGTTGGTTTAAGAGCCAAGGAGAAACCAAAGACGCCACCAGTGAAGGAACAGGCCCCCGAGGAAGTGAGCTCGTGACGACCCAGAAACGGCAGGGTCAGCTGCTTCCAGTGCCCCGCCGCGGTGGCCGCAGCCCTGCCCCCTCTAACTCTTCTGCATCTGGACGTGGGTTTAGTCCAGGTCTGGGATGAACGAGAGCTAACTGCCAGCCCAACCCCACCCTGTGCTCCCGGTGTATTTAACAGCTCAGAATTCAGTGAAAATTAGTTTAGAGCAGTTTAATCATACGATGCTAGGAAGCAGGGTCTCAGAAGCATTCTTTGGTTTCTCTTTCCCAGCCTTAAAATCTTGTTTAATCTACCGCCCACTCCAATCTCCTGGCTCCCTCCACAGGAGCCGCTCTGCCCAGCTCCGTGGGGCTCGCGACCCCCAGTGCCGGGGGCCAGGACTAAGACAGGGAGAGGTGTCCCCCGGAACAAGGTCTCGGGGCAGGGACTCAGCCCTGAACTTGTGCCATCTCCAGAGGACACCACGCTGTCCACCCTCCCATGGGACACCTGCCCAACCTGGTTCCCTCCTCGGGGACGGGAGAGCTGACCTCCGAGCGCCTCAGGTGAGGCAGCACACACGGCGGGTATGAGGCGTGGAAGCACCGAGGAGCGAAACGAAATCCACGCCCCAAGAGCCACACACAACTCTAACCAGCAGCCGTTAACGGGCCCGGCGGCACAGGAGTGACCGCCAACTGCTCTCTCAGCTGCGAACCTTCCTCGGAGCCGTGCAGATCCACGCAAGCTGGTCGGGTCCTCGTGAGGTCTTGCGGTGTCCGGCAGGGCCGCTGTACATCATGGGGGAACGGCGATGGCCGCAGTGACGGGGCCCAGCTGCACGGCTCTGCGTGCAGCTCCCGTCCACATCCTGCAGGTGTGCCCCGGAGGACGCACCCAAGCCCCAGCCCTGGGTACCCGCGAGGAGATTTTAGAGGCAGGGTCTCTGTGCACGGGATCGCGTTCAGATGAGGTCGTGTTGGAACAGGGCGGCCCCTAATCCAGGGACGGGCGTCCCTATAAGAAGAGGGGCACGGGGACACAGGAAAACGCCCATGATGGCAGCAGCAAAGGCCGCAGTGGCGGGTCGACGAGCCCAGGGCTGCTGACAACCCCCAGGCAGACCCCCCCCGCCCGGACTCCTGCGAAGGAACCAACCCTGCCGGCCCTGGAGAGAGGACTTCCAGCCTCCAGACCGAGAGAAAAACTTCCGTTTTAAGCTTCTCAGTGTCGTACCGTGTTAGAGCCGCCCTTGGAGTCTAAGGCACATGTATGTGCCCACGTGTGTACACGCGTGTGCACGCACACAATAAAGAGGCCATCTGCACTCCACTCCACAACTGCTTCCACAGACTCACAGGCTCCCCACTGCGTTACCCACTATCGTGCTGCTAATTCAGTCCTTGAAAAATATCGATTCACATCACCCCCTTGCCTGAACTCAACCTGTAAGATGATCTAAAATCCTGCGAGCCAGCTCCCACCTCCACGGGAAAAAAGCGTCAGCCACGACGCATCACGCGAGGAAGACAGTAGCCATCACCCTCCGGCCGCGGCTGGACGCACGGGCCGGCGTCTGGGGGTGCCTCTGTACCCAAAGTGCTTCAGCAACAGGGACCCGTCTGGGAACAGGAAGTCCCTCCCCCGCAACCTGGACACCCATCCATGGGTCAGGATGGGTACGGAGACGAAGCCCATGCAGGCACTGGTGGAAGCAGAACGCGGCGTGCAGACAGAAGAGCGGGGCGCACCCTTGTGGACAGGCGGACCCTGCAGCCTCACCAAGGGATCCCGCTACACCTGGGTGGCGACACAGAAAACCGCATCCCGACTCCAGGACGTTCTGCACGTGGGAGTTTCAGGGTGAGAAGACCCCAGTGTGAGGGAACCACGGCTCTGCTCGCTCATTCTCTCCCCATCAACCCGGCAGCATTTCCTCCTGCCACTTCCCGGGGTCAGAGGGCACGGGACGGGAAGCAGCACTCAGCGCCCGGTCTTGTGACGGGGGGGCAGAGGGCGGTCAGGATGCCGGCTGTGGAGCCCGCGTGCCTGCCTGGGGTCCAGTCCTGGCTCCGCTCGGATTTCAGCTTCCTGCTAACGCAGGAATGCAAGTGATTGGGTCCCCGCCCCCGTGTGGGAGACCGGGACTGAGGTCCAGCCCGACTACTGCAGGCATCTGGAGAGTGAACTGGGTGTGTGTGTGAGTGTGTGTGCGTGCATGCGCGTGTGTGTACCTCTCAAATAAACAAGCAGGTAAACACTTCAGAGACGGACAGAGGCTGCCTCCTCAGCTCCAGACTGTGAGCACAGGGCACACCAGTTCACCAGGACGGAGGGGCTCCCGGCGCAAGGCAGCGCGCACTGTTTTCACAGTTCTCCTGGCTCCTGTAGGGCCCTAACACATCCCCACTGGGGTGAGCCTGGACGTGGCACTGCTCTATGCTTCCCTGGCCCTGCGGACACCCCACTTGCTGGGGGGGTGGGGGAGGCGAGCTCCCAGAGCGAGGGAGGGAGAAGAGGCCCAGGGGGCCGAGTAGCCACAGCTGCTCTGCAGAGCCAAGGGGAGGATGTTCTTCCACACACTCGCGTGCGCTCCTGCCCTGTAGGACCAGGTGTTCATAAACCACTCAGAGCGCCACGCTGTTTCAGCGGAACGTAACGCATTACTTGATAAACCAACGCAGCTAGGCTGCTGGTGGTCACACCTGAGGTCACCCCACGGCACAGTGTCTAGTTCTGACGCAGGGACAGTCTCGGGAAACGCTGCTGTGGTCGTCAAGGTCCGGGCCCCTCGGGGTGGCGTCTGGCCCGCTGGTTAACGTGGACCTTGTGTTCAGAGTGCCTGGGTTAGTTCTGGCTCTGAGGCCGATTCCAGCCTCCTGCTGGGGTGCGCCCTGGAAGACAGCAGGTGACGGCTCAAGTACTTGGGTTCCTGCTGCCCTTGTGGGAGACCTGGCTGGAGTCCTTGGGCTCCTGGCTTCAGCCTGGCCCAGCCGTAACTGCCGCGGGCATTTGGGGAGTGAATCAACACATGGGAGGCCTCTGAGTGTCTCCCTCTCTGCCTTTCACAATATACTAAATGCATTTTTAATCCATGGGCCCATTATAGCTTGCAAAAAAAAAAAAAATCACAGCCAGGTGCAAATGCGACGGAAACAAACTGCGGACAGTGAAAGGAAACAGGGCCGAAGCCACGCAGTGACCAGAGCGCGACACGGGGCCTGGGCTCCCGCACCGGCCACGCGCTGTGAGAGCTGGGGAAGACAGAGCAGCTACAAAGCCAGGGGCCCCCGAGAGTGCAGGGGTGAAGGCCGGGGACCCGGCAAAGGCGGCCCCCACGCTGCTGCAGCCGAGGCAGACGCACACCCTCACCAGCACCGGCTGCCTTCAACCTGCACAAGAGCAGGCGCCTCCACGTGAAGGGGAGCTCCAGAACGCAGCTCCACACGCTCCAGGGACCGTCTCAGCACCAGAGGCTGACACACACCCCCGGACAGAACCACGAACCAACGGCAAGGCCCAGGGCCACACCCCACCAGGGAGCTGCACCGACAGTGCAGTGAGGGCCACGCCAACCTTACCCCAGGCTCCGACCTCAGACGGCCCTGCCTCTGCCCGCACCTGCCCCACAGGCCCCGCCCCCGCCTCTCAGCTCCCTAAATCATCACTTCCCAAGTGGTCACTTCAAAGGGAATAAACGGGAAAAGCAGGCGGGCTGCGGACACGACCACCCACCCCGGCCCCGTTCTGCCCAGCCGTGCCCGAGCCCCCTGCGGAGCCGGACCGGCCCCGCGGTTTCCAGGACGAGAGGTGAGAACAGATCGGGTGTTACAGGGGATGTGGCAGGCTGCTCAGGACCGACTACTGCTACGGAGACATCTAAGGGACAAAACAGGGTGAAATGTCGAACTGAACCGAAAAGCAAATTAATTAATTAAATAAAGAAGGGTCAATGAAAAGGAAACAGGATGGCACACGTAACGAGGGGGGAGGGGACGCTACAGCACAGGGGGTGCCCCTGCTCTCTCTGGGAACAAGACACGCGCTGCCGTGAGGGGAGGCATAGTTACCTGCGTCCAAGTCTGCAAAGAAGGGAACAGCCAGTGAGAGAAGGAAGGAACCAGAGATTCAGCGTCTCAGAGTCGCATTTACAAGAGTTACACGGAGAGCAAAACATCCTTCCCCAGAGCTACCCCTCGGTTAGGGCACGCGGGAGCCACAGCGTGGCCGCCTGTCCTTTGCGTAAATTTTACTTAGAGCAAAAAATAAAATGTGGATGTGTTAACTAAAGAGGCAAATGCCTAATGGCAAAAATAAACATCTTATTTGCATGCAAAATGATTATTACATGTTTAGAATACGGCATAAGGGGGGGAGGGGGGACACGTACTCAAACAATGGCGGTGCTGTCGGGAAGCCTTACCCTGACCTACGGCTGAGGAACCCTGCGTACGAACCACGAGTAAACTCGATTCCCGCATCGGAGAAAATGTCCACCCAATACTTAAAGCAGTAATCTGGGACTGCCAGTTTGAAAGGACAGGATCATCAGGGGAGACGTAAATGCAGCAGAACGTCTTGGTTCTACGCTGCTGCTCCGAATGCCACAGGCTCGCTAGGGATCTTCCAGAGAAACCAGTATCCCCCGGGCCTTACTGCTCGGTGAGCTTCATGGCTGTCGTCATACGTGACCCACCAGGGCACCAATTTAGAACACGCTAAGGACACATTTGCCCCTACGCTCTCTGAGGCTGGCACCCAACTGCCTGCCACACAGCATACCTTCGGGGGACTCCTCCTGCACATACGTGCCCGTCAGGTACCGGTGCACCAGGGCGGACTTGCCGCTGGCCAAGTTACCCACAATTCCCTGAAACAAAGAAAAGGACAAGCGTTAGGGACCAGTGAGCCATGCGCTCTCTCAGACCTTGAAATACACGGTGCCCTGAACAGAGCCCTGACCAACACGGGCAGCCGGACGGCTCCGAGTCAGGAAACTCGCCTGGAGCCCAGGGGCCCGAGGCCCGCGTCAGCTGTCCACACGTCGCGCTGCTGGGACAAACCCTGGGCCTGGTCTGGCACTCGGTGGCTAACACGCGTGTGGTTTACGTGGGGGATGTGTACGCCGCATCAGCTGCCCACAAGGCCCTCACGCCCTCCGCAGACTCAGGAGGGTTCCGGGTGACACGGTGGGGTGGGATGCACAGCCCCCCCCTGATGACGTGGGGTAGGTCCTGAGGGTGGGCTAGAGGAGAGAGGAGGGCAGGGGTGGGGGGAGCAGAGCCCCCAGCATGAGGACAGCAAGGCAGGGCTGGGCTGTGGGGGTGGCAGCAGGGGGGCCTGCAGGCTTGTGCTGAGTGGAAATCAACCCCGAGGGGCAGGAGACAGGAGGGCCCAGGACTAACAGCAGCCAGGCAGACAAGGCTGAGCGCACAGAGGCTACACAAGGAGCTGCCGGGGTAACACCACGGGCACCTGGGCTCAGGTGGGCCCGGGGAACCTCAACCCCCACTGCCTTCTGGGGGAGCTGCTCATCAAAGCCTTCCTCCTCTTCTTCCTCCTCCTCTACCTGCAGGAGAACAGAACCAGGAACGGACGCGGCAGGTGGAGAGCAGTCAAATCAGTTATTTCCGCAAACATCAACCAGGGACCCAACCACAGACCAGGGGCAACCCAGCCCCCGCTGCCCCTCCCACCAGAGCCAGGCCTGCCCCGTCTTCCTCCCACTTCCTGACGTCCCTCCCACCTCCACCCAACTGCAAGACTCCAAGGAGCGACCCACGAGGTCACTCACGACTTTCTTTCCTAAACCCTCTGGCCTGTGTCCCACGCGTGCTGTGCAGGGCCCCAGCCCCAGCCCTGCAGCCGATCCCAGCACTAACGCACCCACTCTGGTCCAGCACGGCCCCCGTCACCAAGCCACGCGCGACAGCCTCTCCCGCGGGAGCTACAGGCCCTGTGCGCCATCTACCCGGCACTCGGCACCTCAACGCGGCCACACCTCGCCTTCCCCTCCCCCCGGCTGCTCATCGTCCTCCACCACCACATCCCTGCCTGGCCGCTGGCCGCCCCGAGCCGCCCCATCCCCGGCTGGGAAGTGCCAGAAGCCCCCTGAGCAGACGCCACCACATCATGGCAGAGTCCTTTCCCCCCGAGGATCTCGGGAGTCGTCGCCCGCACGGACGACGGGGATCACCTCTGAAATCCACGAGGAAAACGCCACCCCCTCGGTTCACGGCCTGGGGAGGCCGCTGCAGGCCAAAGTGCCCATGGCTTTGGAACAATCTGTCTCCCTCCCTGAACTGCCACACGCAATCCTGCTACGGAGAAACAGGCCGGGAGGGAGGTCTGGGACCTGGCACTCCTCCGCTCACCTGGGGCCCCGTCGCCGGGTCGGTTTTGCTTTCTCCTTGGGAGGTTTCCCCACTCTTCCCCTGCACACTCAGGAGGCCTTGCACTGGGACCTGGGACGGGAGACGCTCTGGCTGTCACTGCACTACACTGTGGTCCCTGAAAGTCAAAATCTGTGTCTTCATATACTGCCGAGGGCGCCAACTATGATTCCTGCACTTACACAGTCCTGACAGTGGCCCATGAGGTCCTGATGAACATGGATTGGATGGGTGACTGTGTGAGTGGATGGAGCAATGGATGGATGGGGGACGGAAGGATAGGTGAACGGATGCATGGATCAGTGGGTGGGGTGGGGTGGGTGGGGTGGATGGGGTGGATGGGGTGGGGTGGGGTGGGATGGGATGGATGGGGTGGGGTGGGGTGGGATGGATGGGGTGGGGTGGGGTGGATGGGAGTGGGGTGGGTGGGGTGGGGTGGATGGGGTGGGATGGGGTGGATGGGAGTAGGGTGGAGTGGGGTGGGGTGGATGGGGTGGGGTGGATGGGAGTGGGGTGGGATGGGGTGGATGGGGGGGTGGGAGTAAAGATGAGAAGTAGAGGGGAGGGGAAGCCTGGCTGGCGCCAGTCACTGGAAGCACAAACAAGGAGAGGCAGGTTTGGCACAGGATGTGGTAAATAAGTTCTCTGTCCACAGGTTCCCCTTCCCAGTGGCCCGGAGCCTCCACTCCTCAGCCAGGCGACCTTTCGGAAATCCACGGCCCGTCCTGGCCCTCGCCCACGCCTCTCAGAAGCCTTCCGGGTGGTCTGAGTGTGTGTCCCCCCGAGGTGCTGGCATCAGGAGGTGGGGCCCCTGCAGGCCATCAGGTCTGAGGACGCGGCCTCCCACGCCGTCAGCGCCCTGTGGAGGAGGGCGGGGACAGAGGCTCTGGAGACACTCCGTCTTCCAAGCAGCAGACTGGCCCTCACCAGGGCCGTCCCGGCCTCCGTGGGCTCCACCGAGCGTCTGCCGTCCATCTGCCCGCTGCCAGTCTTCCCTACGGCGGCCCTAAGGATGACCCGCCCCTTCCTAAGGCCTCCATCGGCGGCCTGTCAGGCCCTGCCAGCCCTGCTCAGCAGGACGCTCTACTGGGCGCCCTCGTCCACCTGCAGGGCGCCAGCCTCTCTCCAGTGCTCACGACTCCTCCAGGGCGGGGACGCCGCACCCCGACACAGCACCCAGCCCGAGGCAGACACTCGGTGCTCTGCCTGAAAGAGAGAATGACAGACTCAGGCCGAGGAGGAGACGCGGGAGGCTCCACCACTGCAGCCAGAGCCAGACCCTGAATAAAGCTGCTTCCCCACCATCTTAGCCGACCTCGGCTTCTCGCCTCGGGCCCTTTAGTCTGAGGACGCTACCTGTTAATTATTCTCTTGCTCCAGGGTACCTACTGTTTGCCAGCTTCACGCTGAGAAGAATCCAGAAAAATATGCCGTGGAATTAAATTTTTAATTAAGATTTGAGTTTCTCCTTCCTGGGACAGAAACGCTGTGAGATCAAACCGTGTCCAGCCTGCACCTGCGCCTGTCTCCCTTCCTGAGTGATGAAGGTGGGACTGCGCTCCCGCAAGGAAGGCGGGGCGGGGGGGGGGGTAAGAGGGTGCAAGGAGGGCTGGGGGGGCTGGGAGGGTGCAAGGGCTGGGGCGGCTGGGAGGGTGCAAGGGCTGGGGGGGTCGGCTGGGAGGGTGCAAGGGCTGGGGCGGCTGGGAGGGTACAAGGGCTGGGGGGGCTGGGAGGGTGCAAGGGCTGGGGGCGGCTGGGAGGGTGCAAGGGCTGGGGGGGTCGGCTGGGAGGGTGCTTTATTCGGCATCAGCAGTCGACCAGGGGTGGGTGCCATCCGACCCTTGGGCTGTATACGGCCCACAGAATCATTTGGCCTGACTGGACTCAGAACTCAATACAGCCAGGGCGGGCCGATTTTCAGGTTGAGAATTTTCTATGGTCAGCCAATGACTGCAGAAATGGCCAAATGGTCCTGGGCAGGAGACGGGTTCCCCAGTCCTGCACCACGACAGGTGTCATTTTTGTTGGAAGCTCGGGTGGAAACTAACAGCCGACGGCAGGGGAGGACAGAAGCAGGGAAAGACTCAGGAAGCTGGGAGGAGGGATCCACCCAGCGTGGGGAGAGAGAGCGGAGGAGGGATCCACCCAACATGGAGAGCAAGCGGAGGAGGGATCCACACAGCATGGCGGAGAGCCAGGAGGAAGGATCCACCCAGCATGGAGAGCAAGCGGAGGAGGGATCCACCCAGCGTGGGGAGATCGAGCGGAGGAGGGATCCACACAGCGTGGGGAGAGCGAGCGGAGGAGGGATCCACCCAGCGTGGGGAGAGCGAGCGGAGGAGGGATCCACCCAGCGTGGGGAGAGCGAGCGGAGGAGGGATCCACCCAGGTGGGGAGAGCAAGCGGAGGAGAGTGAAGCAGAGCAGGGATCCACTCAGCGTGGGGAGAGCGAGATGGAGGAGGGATCCACCAAGCATGGGTGAGAGCCAGGCCAAGGAGGGATCCACACAGCATGGCGGAGAGCCAGGAGGAGGAGGGATCCACCCAGCGTGGGGAGAGTGAGGCGGAGCAGGGATCCACCCAGTGTGGGGGAGAGCGAGGCGTGCTGATGGCCAGGGAACCCCATGGCCGGCACTGCTACCGCGTGCTGTCTGTGCGGGGCCGTGGACTCTCGGGCCCTGAGCTGGGCCCTTCTGCATCAGGAGAGGACGAAGGGCGTGCGGTCCTTCTAACCTGCTTCCCAGCACCCCACACTTCACTGCGTACCTGCTCCATGTGGGCCTTGCGGAGAAGAAAACTGACCTCATCTGTGAAAATCCCAGTTGGGAGCCGGAAGCCATCACACCAACAGGGGGCGACGAGACCCTCTGCAGGGGCATTTGCTCGTCTAGCCAGGCGCAGGCGTGAGCTGCCACCACCCGTGCACACCTGCAGGGCCAGCCTCTGGACCCCCAGCGGCACCCAAAGCAACGGGTCACTGATGGCGCGACAACACCACTTCAGAAGCCCAAGGCATGGCACCACCACTGGCATCAAGGAGCAGACACTGAGTGTCTTTCTCTCGAGGCTCCCAGAAGGTGGCCTGCAAAATGCCCCATAAAGAGTCCATTGGAGCTGTGCTGTGACATCACTCCACGGGAAGCAGGGGCAGGGGGCCGAGGACGCTGACCTCAAGGGCCACCTGTCTCGGGGTGGGAAACAATCGCGGCCCTATGGGCACTGGGAGGCCGCCTTCCAGCACAAAGGGGCACTTTCTGCTCCGTGCAGACCCCGAGCTCCGTGGAGGGTGGCCAAGAGCACGAGCTGCCTGCGGATGCCACGGGAGAGGGGCCTGGGCGGCTGCACAGCTCACGTCCCGTGGGGTCCTACCCATCCACACACAGGGCAGGGCGAAGACCCCACCCCTGAAGAACTGCAGAACAAGTGCCTGACTGAGCCAGACCCAGCCCTGCCGGTGAACGCACACAAGCCCTCAGATCCGGCAGGGGAGAGCGAGCAGGCCTGCTCCTCCGACACTCATCCTAGAAACAGCAGTTCTCTAACACCCGCAGAACACAAGCTACAGCGGAAGCACCCTCAGCGTCAGGCCGGGAACCTGCAACACCCGGAGCCGCCCAGGCAGGCTTCACACGTGGCGGCCACACGCAGGGCGACCTCGGCCCCAGCGACTGTGTCAACCGAACAGAACTTAACAGCCGAAACCAAGCCCAGCACTGCACGGCCAGGCAGGGCCGGCGGCTGCCACGCAGGGCAGCACCGAGAGCCGGGTCTCCACTGTGTGGGGTGGAAGTGTGGACCTCAGGTCAAGCCCAGCTGTCCACGGGCTGACGGCGGCTCCACGGCCAGTTCTGCACATCTGTGGGCCCCGGCTCCTCACTCCCACGGTGGTGAAGCACTGAGGCACGCTTGGTCAAAGTGGGTGCTGTCAGGAAGCACCGTGCCCGAGGCCTCAGGCTCACAGCAGGACCTCGTGGCACCTGGGCTGCCTCAGCAGGTGTACCTGAACCTGGCAAGTCTCCTTGAAGCATGCTGGTAACAGCCCTGCCCAGCCTGCACCGCGCACTCCACAGCTCTCTCCTGCGCCCGGCATGCTGGCCACAGAATGCACATAGCTGCCCGGCCTGTGGAACCTGGGCTTCCCCATCAGGGCACTGGGGTAAGAGGGTGCTCTGTCTCCCACCAAGGCACCAGGGTAAGGGGGCGCTCTGTCTCCCACCAGGGAGGAAGCCCGCTAGCAGGTGCTGCACAGAAAGGTCAGTGCTGTGGGGAGATGGACAGGGCACAGGGGAAGGTGGGAAAAGGTAACCACGGCTCACAGCAGCAGGCACAGGGGAAGGAGGGGACACAGCTGACCACAGCTCACAGCAGCAGAGACAAAGGAAGGAGGGGACACAGGTGACCACAGCTCACAGCAATAGGGACAGGGGAAGGGAGGGATGCAGGTGACCAAGGCTCACAGCAGCAGGGACAGGGGAAGGGAGGGACACAGGTGACCACAGCTCACAGCAGCAGGGACAGGGGAAGGGAGGGACGCAGGTGACCACAGCTCACAGCAGCAGGGACAGGGGAAGGAGGGGACACAGCTGACCACAGCTCACAGCAGGGACAGGGGAAGGAGGGGACACAGCGGACCATGGCTCACAGCAATAGGGACAGGGGAAGGGAGGGACGCAGGTGACCATGGCTCACAGCAGCAGGGACAGGGGAAGGGAGGGACACAGGTGACCACGGCTCACAGCAGCAGGGACAGGGGAAGGGAGGGACGCAGGTGACCACGGCTCACAGCAGCAGGGGACAAGAGGGCCCAGGTAGTACAGCCCCCCAGGTCAGGCACCTCCCACACAGGATCCTTAGGTACTTAGGCTGAGTACCAGGTGTCCTTCCTGGTGACAACAGTCACACAGGCTCTCTCTTCAATGACCCAAAGTTCCTAGTTCCTGGCCGTTCTCCTCTCAGACCTGGGAAGCCCAACGGCCCCCTTTCCCGTCCTGTAAGCACCCCGGGAAGGAGCAGTCTACACTCACGCACACGGGGGCAAGGCAGCAGCAGGGGCCAGCATGGAGAAGTCGGATTTGTCTCTTCTCCCAGTTGTGATGGGGACAGGGCATTGGCGGACTCCTAGGGGTCGCTGCAGCAGGCCACTTAGCACAGGGGCCAATTTGAAGCTCTACAGAATCTCCATGAATGGGTGAAGTTTCTAATGAAGAGCCAAAGTCTTAACTTTATGCCAGCATTGTGTAAGTGTGTCAGCAGCGACACTGCTTACAGCAAAGGCGGCTGCACGGAACAGGGCAGGGGAGGACAGGCCCCGCCCCACTCTGGCTGGGTGGCTGCTGCGGCCATCACAGGTACACGAGACCACGTCTGGCCCTGCCCAGGGCCACCCACAGTTACCGCGGTCCTGCTCCAGCTCTGGACCCCTTGGGAAGGGGACGAAAGCCACCAAGGCCAGAAGGGGTCACACTCACCACTTTCAGCTCCGGCACCGATCGGCTTAGCGTCCACTCCTGGCTGTTCACGAAGGCATCTGTGAAAAGAGAGCAGGGGTGAGGTGAGTCGCCACGGCCACGACCACGGCCGCACCCGGTCAGATGCCCCCAACACCTTTCCCTGCAGCCGGGAAGGCCAGTGAGGACGCGCCAACGGTCACTCTGCGTCCCTCCCTCCGCAGGGAGAGCTCAGAACCTGCCCCCGAGGCCAGCCCGCGTCGCAGACTGCGAGTCTGTGGTCTACAGCATGCTCTGGGACTTTCCAACTTTCTCCTGCACAAGCCACAGGCCGCCCGCCGCCTGGAACCTACCTTAGGACACCCCCGCCGGCCGGTGTTGATGGCAAGCGTGGAGACGTCCCAGGAGGGACCCGGGCTGCCCAGAGCTGCACAGCCGGCTGTCCCACGGGAGGTCCTCCAGGACGCCCCTCAAACAGCACCGAAACAGTGGGGAAGAGGACGGGACTGTGGGAGCCCACGCAGCCGCAGGCTAGCGACACCTCGGGCTTCGGGAGGAAGCCTTGATCCTCAGAGATATTAATAAACATGCAGGGTGGAGCCAGGACAGGTTAGGCCACGTCAGAAAGACGAGGGGGCCTGGGCCCCGGGGCGCTCTTCTCAGCAGGGCTCGTGCCCGCCCTGGGCAGCACCCTCAGACAGCCTCCCCGAGCACCCCAATGCAGTTGAGCAACAGAGCAGGCTCCGCTCGCGAGCTCACTTTCCCTGCCCCGAGCAGCAGCCAAGGCAGCGACTGTGTCACACACACCGGGGCAGCCGGAGAGGGAGGCTGCTCCTCCACAACCCAGCAGTGGGGTCCCCCTCCTCACTCACACACCCCAACACCCTCCCCAGGAGCTGGAACTGGCTCGCCCGATGTTCTCTTCCACGAGAAGTTAGGGGATTCACAGATGCTGAGAGGCCAAGAAAAACCATCACTTCACAACCCAACGGCCCAGCCCTCCAACTAAGAACTTGCAAACCACTTTCTTTCGGTCATCAACGGCCGTACAGGGTGTGCGGGGAGATCCCAATGGTTCAGGAAGACGCCCCATACAACAGAACGCTAAGCAGAACAGAAAAACCACGGGGCACCAATGCACTGAGGTGGGGCTGTGCCCAGCACCCCCTAGCCACGTTAGGTGAAGGCTGCAGGTGCACCAGAGAGGCGTGGGACTCTAACAGGTGTGCACGGCCCAGGCTGGATGAATCCCTCACAGCTGCCGACGAACGGTGAGGGAAAGCTGGGTGGCTCCGGGACACGCAAAACCACCGACTTCCTTTTCACCACCACCTTTCCATCCCTTTTAAATGAACACCATCCACCACGTAAAAGACTAAATAATACAGTTTTTAAAGGAACCTCCATACTAAATAAAGGGGGGGGGGGGCTAAAGTGAGAATTAAAAATATTCCATAAAGCACCACTGGATGGCTAAGCTCAAACTGCCTCGTTTTATCACAACAAACACTAAATATTCACTGTAAATTAAGCAGGGGCACATTAGGCAAGGATCACAACCCTATAAACACTGTGGCTTTTTTTGACTTGCAAACAATTTCTCACTCCAACAGCGTAAGTTTGTGCCTGTGGCAATTAGTTAATAAAATAAATGCCTGACTTAACTGGCAAGAATAAATTCGTATCTCCCATTAGAAAAAGAAACATTGATTTAAAAAGTTTTCATGGTCGCCATTGCTGAGGAACGGAGTGCTGCCCCTACCACTAACAGGGCAGGGCTCCAGCTGCATTTCACCATTCAAATTTAAATCAGGAGGTTGAAATCTGAGAACTTCATGAAGCAACAGTAACACACCAAGGTCTCTGCTCCTCCGGAAGAGAAATCAGGACGGCAGAGAAATCAGACAGCGGGCAGAGAGCAGGTGGCTCTATGGGTGGCGGTGAAGACGGAGCTCACAGGGACAGGGACGTGAGGACACAGCAGGGGGTGGGGGGTATCGTCTGGGACTGAAAACCAGTGACTGAACAGTGCGGCGACGTCCAGGTACCAGAAACACTCAGGCCTGGCTGTGCGCTTGTGGCGGCCAAAACACCTGAGGTCGAAGGGCAACGCACGGAGCCCCCTGTGGACTGGACCGGAAGCACAGAGTGCACTCTGCCCTTATCATCCCAGCACACAGGAAGGCGGCCGTGCAGGGAACCCTAAGCCAGGCAGCCGAGGGCCCCCCCAGCTCTGAGCGACAGCAGGGAAAGCGGGGTTGTGGTCACCTGCCGCGGGCTCGTCCTTGTTTTGCTGTTTTCTCTTGTTTGCTTTTCACGAGGACCTCTCATTAGTTAACAGTTGTTTTAAACACACAGCAAGAGGTGCTGCACCTTGACCTCACCCTGCGGTGACCTGGCCTCTGGGGCTTGGGGCTGGATCTGGGAACACGGGTGTGCTCCTAACAGGTGCCCCGTTCCTTCCCCTCTTGACTGAGGGGGTGCCTGGGTAATAGGCACATGGATACACAGCCAGGGGCAGCACTGCCCCAACCGCAGCTCCAGGACGGACGCAGAACGAGTGTCCACTAGGGAGGGAGAGGACAGGGGCCGTGGCTCGGGTGCGAGCTGGTGACCCTGGGCACCTGCTAACTAGTGTGCACCTGCGGCGCCGGCTTCCCAGAAGGTCCTCAGTGAGGCCACACGTTCTGAACCACCACCAGGCACAGACCGAGGCAAGATGGCCCCCCGACCCTGTTTACTGCTGGACCCCACCCTGCTTCTTGTACAGCCGAAGAAACCTGTGTGGAGGCCACAGGCACCCCTGAGCGGCCCTCTGACAGAGGGGCAGGGACTGCCCGAACCTGGGCCTGGCCAACGGGCCGAGCGTGGAGGAGAAGACGGCCTCCCAGGAGCACCAGCGGCAGGCCTCAGCAGCTGGGCCCCAGCACACTTGCAGGAGAGAGGACTGAACCCTCCCGGAATCTCGGAAGAGTCTCAGGACAGCATCTTCGTCCCCTGCCTTTAGAGACACAGCTGCCAAGACTCGGGCTCTGCTCAGAGCCCAGCCCCACCCCCCGCTCCAGGCAAAGCAGACCCCAGAGCAGGGCAGGCAGCCAGGGCTTGCGGCACCTCCCCTCCCGGGGCCACCTCCAGCCCCGAGTCCAGTGTGCACTGCCACTGACAGATGAGAGAGGGGACCGAGGCACAACTGGGAGCAGAGAGCTGCAGGGGACGGAAACTCGCCAGCGGTTCATTTTTACTCCTTGGGAAGCGGTTCTGCGTCCCTGCCTGGACTTTGTCGACGTTCACCCTGAGTACAAATCCCCTTTGCTCTTTGCTTGCATACACGGGACTGCGGATTCTACCGGCAGCTGCCCGAGATCCCGCCAGACAACCCAGCTCTGCCTTCAACAACCACAAATCTTCCCAGCAGAGTCAAGGCCGTCATTAAGCCCTGCACCAAAGACGTGCTCGGATTTGAACGCGAGAAAGGCTCACTTCTCAAAAATCACTCCGTGGACCAAAGCGCCCTGGGTGGCAGGCTGGGCGGGACACGCCCTCCCTCCCCGAGGTTTAATTGCCGCCTGCTGCCTGCCCAGAGTGCAGATCGCCTGATTCCTAAGCTCTAGGCACGCAGGGGAACCAGGCCAGCGCGGGGACGCATGGCAGTTGCTACATCGCACAGAAAGCCCGCGTTCGCGTCCCCCCACACCCAGGGGTCACTCTGCCCCTACGGCCCTGATTCCCACTCCCCGCACTGACCAGCTCTCAAAGGCCAAGAACTCCAGTCTTGGAACCGATAGGGTTCTCGCAAAGTCGGTGAACAATTACTTCCGGTCCTTCACATCCTCCAGGCTGCAAGAACACAGCTAAGGAGCACGCTGACCTTGAGGCTCCGAGCACGCCGGGGTGGGGACCTACAGCGAAATCGCCTTTCGTGACGCCCCGTCTTCCTGGGGGCCTGGAGCTAGCAGTCCCAGCGCCACGTTCAGGAAAACATCAGAACTGAGAGCCAACCCCCTCCTCGCCCACTCCGGGCCGAACACGAGTATCAGGTAGACAGGGACCCACTGGGATAATAAATCCCAATCTACACACATAATACGGGCAATTTATTGCAGGGGCTGAAATAACAATAAAAGGAGAGGTGATTTCCTTTTAAACTTCCAGTTATTTATTTATTTAAGAGGCAGAGAGCGCGCGCCCATCCGCTAGGGCTGGCCCAGGTTGACGCTGGGAACCCATGACCCCAGCCGGGTCCCCCATGGGGGTGGCCGGGATCCAATTCCTGGAGCCATCAACACTGCTTCCCAGGGTGTGCGGCAGCAGGAGGCCGACTCTGGAGCAGAGGCAGGACTGGAACCCGGGACTCCGCTGTGCGAGGCGGGCGTCCCGACTGCCAGCTCCGGCGCCCACTCCTCCCTCCGCTCCTCCTGCCCGCACGGGGCCTCCCAACAAAGGGTTTCCAGCAGCGCAGGAGCCACAGCGAGCACAAGCCCAGGTCCCGACACAGTGCGGTCCTGACTCTGCGGTGCAGGCAGGTGGTGCCATTTTTGCATCACAATGCATCCGGTCTGTGATTTCAGTCAGCACCTAAACGCAGCTGCCCACGGCCCACGGCCCACGGCCCACGGCCCTGGTAGCTTCTGTGAGCACTGAACAAGGACAGGGAGGAACAGGACTTCCCTGTGCGGCCCACCAACCCCACGCCGGTCCTGGGGGCCAGGTCCCCGCGCTCGCACCAGACGGTGCAGCTGGGCAGGGACAGGTCACCACCCCCAGTGCTGGATCCCCAGGTCCCTGCTCACGGGGCGCTGGTCACGCAGGGCAGCCGTGGGGCCTGGACGCTGGAATCTGCACCTTACCCACACCCCTCCCTCCAGCCCACACCAGGACTCTACAGCTCTGCTGTTTGCAAAACTTGCTAAGCAGACACTCCAAGTGTGAAATTCTGCCAGCGGCAGCTGCTCAGGGGCCGTGAGCAGGGAGAAGGCAGCGTTGGTTGTCAGGCGCAGATGGTGCTGCACTCACTTCCTGAGGCCAAAGGCCCAGCCCTGGCCCTGCATCCGGGTCCGTGGGCGGCCAGGAGGAGGCAGAG